GGGCTCAGGCAGAATGCATTCTTCATTGCACCATGGGTCTCACTCCCTGGCCCCCCAGCACGCTGGCCCCAGCCCCACCCCCGTCCTGCCCTCGGCCCTGGGGGGTTGGCAGTGGGTGGGGCTTTGCCGTGGGTAGCTGCCAGCACAGCTGGGGAGACACGGATCTGCCATAAAAAACCGAAGCCACCATGGACTGGCCATTAGCAGGGACCCCGGAGGTGACGGTGTGGCACCTACAACCCAGATGGGCCGCACAGGGGGTGGGCCAGGGTCCCGGGCGGCTCTGCCACCGTGACCGCTCCCGGCCCGGCCGCCCCTCACCAGCCCGTGGGGCCGCGCTGGCCAGACCTGCGGGAGGCGTCAGTCTTGGCATTTCCTGCTGAACATTTTACGAACACATTGCATGAAGACGCGGGAGGCCTGTTTGTCAAATTTATGGGACTGCAAAATTGGGAGGCAGAGCTAATACGTTGATGGCAGAGTCAAGACGTTTAAATATTTCAAGAGGATGAGATTAACTGATCGCATTCGCAGCATACAATTGTAGGTCACATTCACAGCACAGAATTGCAGGGCTGTGAGGCTGTTTAAGACCTTTTTGTCCAAAATGTGCATTTTAACCCAAGTAAGGTCCGGAGAGCTTCCATACTTCAGCCAAGGTTGTACCGTAAGTCACGCTCACGTGGAAGGCTCAGAAACACCTTAAACCCAAGTTCCCTGCAGGTGGAGTTCTCCAGAACTCGGCCCCACTCAGATGCCACCTTCTCTCTACATGAGATGGTGACAGCACGGTGGCAGCAACCCCTCTGGGCCTGAGTCCCTGCTCGTGTATGTCCCCCTCTCACGCTCCCCTTGGGGCCTCGGTCAGCGCAAACGTCTTCTGTTCCCACTCGGTCTCTCCAGTGATGGCGTTAGTGGGAACGTCCCCCCAAAGGCCCTGCAAGGAGCCCTGCGGCACCAAAGGCCCCTGCCCTGCAGACACCAGCTCAGCTCGCCCGCTGCAGCTCTGCGTGTGCCCGGCTGCGTGAGTCACGCCCCGTGGACGGTGCTGTCCCCAGGCGGGGTGCGGGCTGGGCTTGTTTTGGGGTACAACCTCCCCTGTGCCTAGTACAGGGTGGGACACATTCTGCACATGGGAGAAGCAGGGAAGGAGGGAAGGAGTAAGGGAGGGAAGGAGAGGGAAGGAGAGAGGGAAGGAAGGAGGGAAGGAGAGAGGGAGGGAAGGAGGGAAGGAGAGGGAGGGAAGGAGGGAAGGAGAGAGGGAGGGAAGGAGGGAAGGAGAGAGGGAGGGAAGGAACTGCTGCTCTGAGGGATTAATCAGGATTATCTTAAATCCTCCTCACATGCAGACACTGCGAGTAAAGACCTGCATGTGTCCCACCAAAGAGAGCTTGGGACCTTGGTCTGTCCAGCACGGTCTGGGCCTGCACCCGTCTGGTGACGCCATCAAGACACGCATGGGTGTCCGTGTGGCTGTAAGTGGTGGTGGGTGCCTCAGACGGGCTGGGGAGACGGGGTAGTGCAGGCTGGCTGCTCTCGCCCGGAGCTGGCAGCTGTTTGGAGTTGGTGGTTTCCTGCCAGGGCAGCCGTCCCGCCCTCAGGATGGCCCACAGATGCCACCCGGGCAGAGAGAGTCCTGTCTGAGGGCTTGGGGTGACCGCCGGGCTCACAGCCGACGTGCACAGCCCAGTGGCCGAGCTCCCCCGCCCTCAGGTAGATAACTAAAGCTTGTTGCTCACAAAGGGAAAATAGCTGCTGCAGTTTCAGTGTCTGGAATCTGGCTCCTCTGGGGTCAAGTCTGATGTATTTTACGGAATAACTCACTGCTCTTTGCACGTGTGCAGAATGAGAGGCCCTCAGCGTTTCAGACCTTCCAGCAGGACGCCACACGTGTGCACATGCTAAGGCACGTGCACCATTAATGGCTGGGCCGATGGCTGGGGGGGGGGGGGGGGAGGGCGGGACCCGGACGGGAGAGCTCAGGGTGGTGATAGCCACGCTGTCTCGGTGGGCAGAGGCAAGGCGGGCGGGGTGTTCCGTCCCGGGAGAGGGGAGACTCCAGGGCTATGGTGCTCAGGTGTGGGCCACACCTGCCCCGGGAGGGAGGCTGGCCAAACTGAGCCCCCTTTGAGCCATATGTTGGACCTGAAAAATTTCCCAAAGCGTCAAGTTCCCCAGGCTCTGAGCTGCAGTGAAACTGCCCTGCTCCCCGCGGCCAGCTATGCTCGTGGGAGACAGTCGGAGTATCACAGGGACGCTGCCCCCCCCAGCAAACCGGGGCTTCGGCTGTCTCTATTAAACCTATCAGAACCGGCTTTTTGTTAAAAGTACAAAAATCGCTCAGCCACGAGAATATTAAAAATATATTTAGCTAGTTTGCATTTGCTTTTGACCGGTTCTAATTGAACTGATAGCTGAGCTATCTGGAAGGCATTCAGCGGTTCCGAACAAAATATTTTGTTGAATAAGCTGTAATGCGCCATCATCGGTGAGCTCAGAAGGCTCCTATTAATCTCATTTCAAGTTGCAACAATGCAAGCCTTGTTTCACACTTCTATTTTTAACTAATGAAAATTTATTACAGAGAAATCCTAATTATACCCTTTGGAATATGATACAATTGCAAATCCACTAGTAATTTTCTTTTCTTTTTTTTTTTTTTCAAAATTCCACATAATCGCCTAAGAAGCAAAGAATGTAGGTTCCCCTGAAATAGTTGGTCTATAAATAAGGTTCCCCGATGGGCCGAACAATCTTTCCTTTGCACATCGTGTACTAGTGTGGATTAATCCGTGTTGCAGCCCCTGTGAATGAAAGCCCCTACACAGACACAGAACGCCGTATATTCTCAGCACTTCCTAAAGGTGGTAACACGCACGTCTCACATTTCCCTGGACAGACATGACGGGAACGCTGTTCCCTCGGCAGGTGTCAGGAGCCCTGGCCTGGCCCCTAAATGACCATATGTCCCTTCTCCTCTCCGTCCCCCTCTTCCCCAATCCAGGAAGCAATGCAGGATTCCCTTGGCGCCCACACCTCCGGGAGGCGGCCGTTGGTTGCGACGGTGCTGGGCGTGGGCTGCCCTGTGGGTCGTGGGGCTTTCAGGGGCTCCCCGGTCTCTCCTCCCAGTGGCCAGCAGCACCCCAAGTTGTGACAGCCACGCACACCCCCTGACATTGCCAAGTGTCCCTCCCGGGGAACAGTCACCCTCAGCTGAGAACTCTGTGCACGTGTCGGAGACAGTCGGAGCTGGGCGGTGGGTGACGCGGTAGAGACAGATCTCACTCGGGACGATCGCAAAGGGGGAAAGTGACCTCAGCACAGAGCCGGCCTCAAGTCCAGACGCTGCGTGTGTGCCCGCGGGACTCGCAGCCGGGAGTAGGCAGGGCGGGGGCAGCAACTGGATTTTTATTAGAGCGAACGCCAGGGGGAGGGATTGGGGCTCCCCAGTCTCAGGGCTCTTGGGGAGACAGACCTGGAGGGGGTGTCGGGGGAGGGGGCTGATACGGTGTCCAGGGTGGGGGCTGCTGGCTCACTTGACCTGGACCGATTCCTGCTCAAACTGCACAACTCGGGTGATCGGGGAAGTCCAAGGTTCTAGGCCCACTGAGAAGTTCCGGGCCCAGCAGAGTTGGCTCCAGGAGGGAACCTGCCCCAGGGAAATGTCGGCGAGCCCCGATTTACGTGGTACGAGGGACTCCACCCGTCCCACTGCGAGGTGAGGCTGGAGGGCTGTGCGTCCCTGTGTGTGTGTCTCCTGCCGCTTCTGCCCACGGAGCCCTGCGGTCTTCCCGAGTGCAGGGCACTAAGCCGCCCGCCTGTGAGTGTACCCAGTGCACTTCCCGATCACGCGGCCGAGCTCAGCCCAGGTACAGCAGAAAGTGAGGACTCCGCAGCATGCGGGGACTGAGGCTGGGATTGCCACAGACCCCGATGCACCTGTCACCGTGAACGGCCACTGCCCCGGGCCTGGCGAGGGTGGGAGTGGGGCAGGGCCAGGCGGGAGCAGCCTGCAGGGGGGTCAGTGTGCTCAGGGCGAGGTTGCTCTCCAGCCATTGTGCACCCATCTGAGCGTCCTGTCGGGACCCCTGCGTCCCCGAGGACGGCTGCAGCTGGTCCGAGCTGCCCCAGGCCAGAGCATCAGTGTCTGCATTTGGCCAAACCCTCTCTCCCAGCAGCAAGCATTTAGTTGCTTAAAGGAGGTTTGCAGATGCTTCTAGAATAAGGTGGAGAACCATGAAGCGATCTACCAAATGGCCAGTTAAAACAGGGCCAGGCACAGCGTTGGTGCTTGATAACTGGGGGGCCTCTCCCTTTCTTCCAGAAGAGGGGGGCTCCCCTCCCTCCCCCAAGGAAGGAGGGAGCGGAGGTCGGTGGTTCAGCCTGGCGCGGTCACTGATGGACCCCCCAGGTCCCCAGTGCCCACTCAGGGCCCCACCTCGGCCACTGAGCCCCTCAGCATCCCTTGGCCAACCGTCTGCAGAGGACCCCACTGTCCACCATCCTCTGTGCCCGGGGTGGGGTCCCTGCCCCCCACCCTTGCCACTGACATCTCCCTTGGGCTAGACCTTAGGACGGCGCACTGCACCCTGGGCGTCCACAGGTGGTTCCGCACACGACTGTCTCCCACGCACGGGTCCCAAACGAGGGGCCGTGAGCGGGTGAAGGGCCTGTCCGGTGGTGGGTCCGCTCCTCCCCCGCCCAGCGACGGCACCTCTGCGGGGGAGGGGAGTCTGGCCTCCGTGCCGTGGGCCGCGACAGCACGGGGCCGGGAAGCGGGGGTCCCGCCATGGTTGGCGGCGGGGCAGCTGGTGCCCAGAGGCCGGGGGGGCCCAGCCCCAGAAATGTCGCTGCTGAGTGGCCGGGCCGTGCTTTAAACAGGCTTCCCAAGGCTCTTTGTCCTTCGAGAGCTCCCCGAGGGAGGGTTTTCCGAGGTTGCCGAGAAAACCGGCCGCAGCCGCGAGGTCACGTTGAACCCCCTGCGTCTTGTGCCCGTGCAGGACCGAAGGCCGAGAGAGCCCAGAGCCGGCGGAGGCCGGGAAGGAGGACGGAGGCGCGAGGACGCCGCCGCCCCAGGTCCTGCTGCCCCTGGAGGAGCGCGCCGCCCACTTCCGAGACATGCTGCTGGAGCGCGGGGTGAGCCCGGCCGGGGTGGGGGAGGGTGTGCGGGCGAAGGGGGGGTCCTCAGATGGCGGCTGGGGGTCTCCCCTCGAGCCTGGGGGACGTTCTCGTTCTCACTGAGCTGGTGACTGGGCTGGTGACATCCGGGTGCTCAAGGATCTGAGGCCCAAGGGGGCAAGACTGGGTGGGAAGAAGCAGGGAGGGTCTGACAGGTGCGAGGGGTCAGGTGGCCCCTGCACCTGTGCGTGGAGGTTCCCGAGACACAGGTGCCAGGGCTCCTGATAGCCCAGGTACCCCGGCTGCACCCGGGACGCACCTGCCCCTGTGCGGGAGACCCCGTGGACCACACAGGTGACCTCCCCATCCCTGACTCCCCAGCCCCTCAGGGAGAAATTTAGAAGAAAGAACCGGCAGCTTTTGGAGTTCAGTCCTCACTTCCCCAGGCGCAGTTTCCTTCCCGTGGGGGTGTCTGAAAAGCAAGGCAAGGGCAGGTGCTGGGGGCCGTGTTCAGTCTGCAGGGACCGCCACGCTCTGCCTACCGGGGGACGTTGCCGTGACTCTCGGCCCGCTCTGCACGCAGGGCGCCGAGAACCTACCTGGAAGGGACTCAGATTTGTCCTTCATCTCCACGCTGGGGGTCCGGGCAGGCCCTGGGGGGGGCCCAGACACTGACCGTCGGGGCTTTGGGGAGATGCCCACAGCTCGGTGTGGACTCACTGCCTATGTCATAAAGCAGTGCCACCAGTTTATGACTCTCTGGCCCCATAAAATACGCCCGCAGGTGTGCTCACGCTCGTGAGAGTTTGATGGCGGGACTGGTAGGATTTCTAGCCGCTTAAAAAATGAGGGAGAGAAAGGTCACCTTTTCATGGACTGAGTGACTAATCGGGTTTTTTATTGCATTTGCTCCATGCTTCAGTTCGGAAATTCATGTACTTGCGGGACGGCGGAGTGGTCCCGGGCTCTGAGTCGAGTAAGAATAGCAGGGTCTGGGCCTTTCCAGGGCATCCCGCCTCCAGGGAGGGAGGATGCTTTTGTGGCTTTATGGTGACTAAGTGCTGGCGCAGTGGGAGGTCAGCGTCCGTGTTTGGTTTTGTTTCTTACTAGCGCAAACTACCACGGTGCTTTCTTTTAAAACTTCAGTCCATAAAGGGACGAGTTCAGTTGAACAGCAGGCTATTAATTTGCCCCACCTACCTGGACTAACACGCCAGAGACACCCTGTCGAGGTTTCCTTCCGCAGCGCATCCTGGGAAGCAGGCGGTGCTAATCCCGCAGGAGAGCAGAGGCCCCATCAGGAACGGGCTCTTGGTTTAGGCTCCCGGTCTGCACCTGGGTCGTCTCTCTGCAGTGTTCCTCGGCCAGCTCCCCGCAGGGGTGGGACCCGGGGACGCTGGCTGACACAGGCAAGCCACACAGTAGATGCCCTGGGGTGGGGACCCACATCTGTGTCAGAGCCAGGACTGCCCTGACCGGGGCTTGGCAGCCGGGTCACCGTGGCGTCTCCCTGCACTACGGTGGGGGCCAGCCGGGAGGTGTTGAGCCTGTCCAGGCCGGAGCGTGGAGCCCCGTGCAGGACTCGGCAGGAAGATCCTTCTGTGGCTGCTTCTGCTCCTCAGGCCGGCGGCATCCCCGGCCTTTCTTGTGATCCAGGAAGGTTACTGGAGAAGATGTTTATGGTTTTAAAGACGGAAGTCTAGCGCTGCCCCTGCTGAGGCCGGCTGAGGACGGAGCCCCGGGGCCCTGCCCGTCCGGATCTGTCTGGTCGATAACGACCTCCGAGAGGCCGCTGCGGCTCTGGGCGCCGACAGGACCTGCGTCATCCCGTGCGCTAGCTGTCCCCGGGCTCGCTCCCGCCACTTTGTGCAAACCGAGCCCGTTTTTCTCAGAGCCGAATCACCCCCAGGAGCAATGCAGAGGCCTCGTTTCCATTTCTGCAGAGGTCAGAGGTTGGAACCAGCTTTATCTGGTCGTGTTTTGCCCGTGCTCAGCACCCCGAGGGACGTCCCCTCCTCTGCCCACAAGACCCGGTCCCTCCGGCAGGCCGGGCGTGATGCTTCTACGGAGGCTCCCTGTCTGCCCGTGGCGGCGTCTAGGGGCTCCCCGCTGCCGGTCTGCTCAGCCTGGGGTGGATCTCAGGGGAGCGAGGCCTCGGTGGCCAGGAGGGGTCTCGCCTGCGTGGGCCCCACCTGCACCGCAGCTGAGGGACCCCAGAAAGCAGCCCGCCGGGTCTTACGCCCTCGGGCTCCGTGTGCGCCGGGCGAAGGTTCCCGGGACAGGGCGGCCACGCAGAGCCTGCTGTCCTCAGGACTTGCACTCCCAGCTCGCCCCGCCGCCATCCCTGAGAGGGACAAGCCAGGATGGTGACCTGGCACTGCCCAGAGACCAGGCCTGAGACCTGCCACCTCCTAATGGCTAAAGACAGGTGTCACCCACTGGAGTGACCAGCACTCTTCCCCTGGTCACCCTGCAAAGCTGTCCTTGGTGCAGTGCTGGGTATGTGTGTGTATGGGGGCACACACGTGCATACTTGTGTGTGAGCTTGGATGCAAGTGTGTTTATGTACGTGTGAGTATGAGTTTGTGTGTGTGCCTGTGTGTACCTATGTGTGCACATACCTCTATGCATATTTGTGTGTATACATGCACATCTATGAGTGCATATGTGTGGTGTGCATGGTTTGTGTGTATGTGGTGTGCATGTGTGTGTTGGTGCATATGTGTGCTCTGCATGGTTTGTATGTATGTGGTGTGCATGTGTGTGCATGTATATGTGAGTGCATATGAGTAGCATGCATGGCTTATATGTATGTGGTGTGCATGTGTAGGCATGCATGTGTGAGTGCATATGTGTGCTCTGCATGGTTTATATGTATGTGGCATGCATGTGTATGTATGTGTGTGAGTGCATATATGTGCTCTGCATGGTTTGTATGTGTGTGGTGTCCATGTGTGTGCATATATGTGTGAGAGTGCATATGTGTGCTGTACATGGTTTGTATGTGGTGTGCATGTATGTGTACTCATGTGTGTGCACACGGCACAGTCCGTGCCCCATAGAATGAGCACCCTGGGCAACACGACTGTGGCACACAGGCCCAGGGAGGTTGGGCCCGTCTCAGGAGCAATTGGACTGACGGATTCACTGTCACTGCAGCTGTTGGGACTCCTTGACAGGAAGTCTGACTCACAGGGAAGCCGGTGCCCACCCGGAGGCCATGAAGGACCCTGCTCTGCACAGCCGTGTCCAGGCAGCTCCAACCTCCGTCCCAAGTCCCACCCCAGCCCCCCAGCCACCGTGCTCTCTCCCATCTGTGGACTCTGCAGGTGTCCCTTAGCCGGCTGTTGGTGACAGCACGTGTTCGGCTGTGTCACTGTAAACTGGCGTCAATGTGGAGACGGCTTATCCCACCATCTATATAGACAATAAATTCCTTTGGGGGCAAGGACTATGCATTATTTATTTTTAAAAAATTTATTTTATTATACCTCTGTAACTCTAAAAGTTTTTAGCAAACCAGTGGGGTCAGCTTTGCAACACCATTTTCTACAGCACTGGGACCTTCTGGGGTGTCTGCTGGTCCCTAGGAGCTGGGCGTGCACCCTGCGATTGAGTTAAGAGGGGTGGGCCACACCACCATCCTGACTTTCGCTCACACCTGTGGCCAGGTGTGCTTGGTCCAGGAAACGGAGTCGCTGTGCCTGGATGCGCTCCCTGAGTCCTCGCCCCGAGCCCATGTTCCAACGCCATTTTACTGTGTTCTCAGTCAATGAGGACAATCCCTGGGTCGAACTTGAGTCATCCCCCCTCCAACAAAAGGGCTGCTGGATATTACAGAAAGGGCTTTCATTTTGATGACTGAAGGCAGAAATTGTCAATTAAGAAAATCCATGTGTTATAAGGTACAAGTAAAGCCCGCGTTTGTTGAAATAGTTCCTCTGCCAGGAAGAGATGATAAGAATGTGAGTGGGATTTTGTTGTTGCAAACTCTCGATTACGTTCCCTCCCCACCCTGCCCAGGATTCACTCCTGCCGAGACCCCGGGGAGGCCTTCCTGAAACTCGTGCCACGTGTGCCCCCTCCCCCGTCCCTCTCCGGGCAGTGCCAGGCCCCTGCCGAGCCGTGGGCAGCCCTGTGGCCCTGCCTCTGTCTCTCCCGCCTCCTCCGGCCCCTTCACGCCAACCCTTGCGGTTCCTGCCTTCCCCGTGGTCCCTGAATCTCAGCCTTTGCACCACGGACAGCCAGTCCTGGAACTAACTTCCCCCAGGCCTCCCGAGAGCACAAGGAGTGTCCATGCTCCTCCGCAGCCGTGCTCTAGAAGCTTCTGCCGTGGCTCACCCTGCAGGGCGGGGCCTGTCTCTGGTCTCCTCACCTGCCTTACCCTGCACTGTGGCCTTCCTGATGTCAGGGGCTCTGGTTTATTTTCTCTGAACCCTCAGTCCCCAGCACAGGGCCTGGGGCATAATCAATATTTAGTCAACGTGTTTAAATGTATTCGTTCATCGTTTAAATGACTTAGACGTTCTCCTGCTCTATCCGCTGAGAGTCTAGAAGCAGCAACATCCCAGTAGCAGCGGACACACCTGCGCCCAGATGCTGGTTTCTGACATCCTTCCCCAGCCCCGGGGACCAGGGCTCCCTGGAGAGCTGGCTGGTTCCAGGGCAGAGGCAGGAAACATACAAGGTGATCCCCGAGCATCTTGTAGTGGCAGGAGATGAAGAAGTCCCCAAAGGTGAGGTGACGAGCACATGTTGAAGGCATACAGGGGCCGACAGCAAGAGCTCAGAGGCCACACCAGGAGCAAGGCGAGCAGGGAAATGGGTGAAGCAGCGGGTTCTAACCCAGAGCATGAACCGAGCATCCCTGGGTCCATGTCGACATGGGTAAACGACTGCGTGAACAAGTAACCATGGGAGGATGGACTCGCAGCCCACCGGAAGGATTCCAAGTTGTTCACATAGCCACTCCCCCAGACGTGGGGAGTAACCCCCCAGTGTGGCTGCATTTGGTGGTGTTAGGGACAAACCTTCCACAGCCCCACTGGACAGAAAAGCAGAGACATCGAGGATGCAATCACACAAGAGGAGGTTTATTTTCTGGCTAGCCAGGGTCCAAGCCCCAGAGCACCAACGCAGAGGCCACTCTCGCAGGCAAGGACCCCGACTGGAACAACGGCATGCCTTTTATCCCCATGGTGCACAAGCTGCGCATAAGCTGACTACGCATGGATCATGCGTTGACCTTTAAAATGATTGGTTGCCCACTATTGCCTTTTGAAATAATTGGCGGGCTGGTTGCCCTCTATTGCCTGATGGGCCAGTCGCCCGTGCTTTAATGACCTCATCCCATAATTCCCCTTACAGCGGAGTAGCAAGCAAGCAATGACCAGAAGCAAAGGTTTGAGGTTAGCTCATTGCCCCACCCAAGTTTCCGACAATTGGAAGAATTCCTCTGCCCTTCCTCTGTCCTACAAATTCCTCTGCCCTACATTGGCTCCTGCCAGAGAGGACCGTGCAGAAGGGGCAGAGCCACTCAGTAGTGGAGATACCACGGGACACACCCCAGCCTGGGACCAAGCCAGCCCGGGCAGGGAGGGTCACCTGGGCGGCGTGCAGTCTTGATGTGGGGTGATGAAATTGCGCGTGGCCTCTGCTTTCTGCCCCCCAAACCCAGCAGCCCGGTTTAGCCCTGAGAACAACCTCAGGCAGGTCCCAATAGCCTGACCAGCACCCCCAAAATGGCAGGGTCTTCAAGACCAGGGACGTCTGAGGAGCTGTCACGGGACAGGACAACCGAATGGGACCTGGGATTCTGGGACCAAAAACAGCAAGTTAGGTAAAAGCTAAGGAAGTTTGAACAGAGTGGGGACTTCTGTTGATGGTAATATATCAATATTGGTGGTTGCAAATCTAGCATACTGTTGAAAGATGTTACCAATATGGGAAACTGGGTTTGGGGTATGTGGTAACTTTCCGTAATAGTCTTGCGATTTTTTTCTTATAAGTCAAAAACTGTTGCAACACAAAATAGCTTCTTTGAAAAGAGGATCCACCCCAAAAGGTCAAGTGTTGAATAAAAATCAGCTAACAGCATGCTAAAGACAGCTTGCTCGGGAGACTCTGCCCTTTGGCTACCGCCTGTGGGGTTCTGAACGTGTGCGAAAGCGTCCCCTCCCCTTTCGAGACGTGCTTGTGCAGCACGCCACGGCGCGCAGGCGTGGCGGGGTGTGGGGACAAGGGCGCCGCCCGGCAAGACACCCAGGGGGGAGAAAGGTCCTGGGCTGCGGGTCTGGAGGTTGAATCGATTTCCTCAGAGGGGCTGGCACGCCCGCCCTCCCACAGCTCCGCACCGTGGAGCGGTCGGTGGCTCCTTCCTGCCGCTCTTCCGCCGCCGACCATCCCACGCCACGCCGGCTCGGCGGCGGTCGTTAACAGCGACTCTGTTCCGTGTCTTCCTTCAGGTGTCCGCGTTTTCCACCTGGGAGAAAGAGCTGCACAAAATCGTGTTTGACCCCCGCTACCTGCTGCTGAACTCCGAGGAGCGGAAACAGGTAAGGCGGGGGAGGAGAGGTGACAACTGCAGGGGCGGGGGGTGGCCTGAACCGACGGCTGCTCGGGGTCCTGGGAGCCTCTTCCTGACAGAGAACAGATGCGCTTTCACTTTGTCAGTGGGGGGCAGGGGGGTCGCAGGTCGAGGCTCCGGCTCCTGAGCTTGTGGGCAGCACCAGGGGGAGGGCAGAGGAGGGTCGTCCTGGCAATCGATCCTTCTTATCTGACCGTTTGGTCCTGACCCGCGCGAAACAAATACTCCTATTTCAAGATGAAAAGGCAAATTTTGGGAACATTAACCACCTTGCAAATCACTAATGCGTTAAAAATACTAAATACTTACAGCCTCATATAAAAACAATGAAGTGGGAGGGCTACATAAGACTTTAAGGCTCTATATACATAACGTCTTGCACGGTGTGAGAGTCCTGACAGTCCACGGGAAGCCACTCCTGCCGGGACAGTGCCACAGTCCCCGCGCCTCGGGGGGCCCAGGTAGAGGGTCCCTGAGGCCGGGACTGCGAGGTGGAGGGAGCTGTGGTCCTGCCACTGCGCTCCAGCCCGGGAGACACAGAGCCAGGCTCAAAACCAAACAGACAGGCCGGGCGTGGTGGCTCACGCCTGTAATCCTAGCACTTTGGGAGGCCGAGGCGGGCGGATTGCTCGAGGTCAGGAGTTCGAAACCAGCCTGAGCGAGACCCCGTCTCTACCAAAAAATAGAAATAAATTAATTGACCAACTAAAAATATATATACAAAAAATTAGCCGGGCATGGTGGCGCATGCCTGTAGTCCCAGCTACTTGGGAGGCTGAGGCAGGAGGATCGCTGAGCCCCGGAGATTGAGGTTGCTGTGAGCCAGGCTAATGCCACGGCACTCACTCTAGCCTGGGCAACAAAGTGAGACTCTGTCTCAAAAAAAAAAAAAAAAAAAAACCAAACAGACAGACAAAAATAAAAAGGAAAACCGCGGCAGACAGAGCATGAGGAAGCCACAACCTCGCACAAAACCTCTCCAGAGAGGACGTCAGCCCTGCAGTTGTCTGTCCACTTCACCTCGGCTGCTGCCACTGTGTTGTTGAACTTCGTGGCTCAGGACATTTATGGCAAAACAATAGCGTAATCCTCCTCCTCCGCCTCCTCGTTTCCTTTAGAAACCTGTCTCCCCTGCCCCCCCACCCCCAGCAATGGCGCAGTTCGCTGTGACGTGCGCGTCCCCTCCCGAGTAGGGGCCGTGCTCTCTGCTCGTTGTTCAGGGGACAGTGGCAGTGACACAGGCCAGGGGCCCACAGAACAGCAGCGTGGTGGCACAAGTGAAGGAAGGGTGTTCTGGAAACCAAGTCCCGGGAGATGGGGGAGCGGATTAGAGAGGTGCCTGGGGCCGTGTGAGAGAAGGGGACACGTGGCGGGAGGGGGGGTACGCCCTGGTCCTGTACACGCTGGGGCCCGAGCCGGCACTGTCCTCCGGATCCAGAGCCAGGACAGGCTGTCTGTCCCCTGGCTGTCGGCAGGGGCCGGCGTGGCTGGGGACCGGTGGCAGGTGGCATTTGCTGACACAGCCTGAGTCTCTGGGGCAGGTGTGACAAGGGCCAGGTTCAACCCATGGGACGGTCTAGATCTCCCTGCCACTGGGTCCCGTCCCCGTCCCCTCCCTGTGTGAGGCCGTGTCCTTCCCGCCCTCTGAGTTCAGGTGTGACACACATGGGAAGTGGGACCGAGAAGGACCACTGGGGACGGAAGAGCCATGGGAGCTGCTTCAGAGAGGAAGGTTCTGTCTCCACGGCGTGGCTCGCGTGGTCCCCATGAGCCCTCAGACGGCAGAGCCCGGTCAAGCCTCGGGCCAGGCGCTCGGAGATTCCGATCTCGGTTTCTATTCTGTCCTCGAGTCATCGGGTTCCCTTAAGTAAACACCTGCAATTGAGGAAGTGCCCAGCAAGCTTCACGAGGACCCTTGGGGCAGCCACGCCTGCGCCCGCCACCCCAGCGGCCCTGGGAGCTGTCCCCGGGCGGGGTCCCTCGGGGGCTGTGAGCCCGGCAGCTTCCTGGGATCGACCACATCCCAGCACAGAACCTGGAAAGAACTCGGAATCAATTATCTTTTGTTGTCTTTGAGCTGAGCTTCATTTTCCAGGAAGAAACTGTTTAAAACATGTGAAACACGGTGTCGGTGGCTCAAAATAACGCTACGGTGGAGTGAGCTGCGTTTGAGCGTTGCTAAGGAAAGGGATAAGGAAAACCGCAGACTTTGATAGTTGCTCATATTTCACCATTTGGTTGCAATGCTAAAAATCTAACATTCAACTATGAAAACGCGGAGTGAGAAGCCTGTTTGTTTATGTGCAGGGCCGCCTGAGGCCATGGGTCACAGCCGCCGCCTGGCTGACGTCTGAATGGCATCGGCAGTTCTGTAGACGGTGCTTTTATTGACTTGTTTGTCACCATCTGTTGTTCTCTCAATGTCATAGACAGTTTAGGGGACATTCATCCCTTGAAAGGAAGCTGGATAAGTAAGGCCATCCCTAGCCCCGAAAGAAAAGCCCAACTCTGCTGGGGTCCTCTCCAACTCTTGCAGTTCAACGCTTCAGCCACGTCTCTTAGGGCAGCGTGGAGCACAGGGGCACCGCCTGCCTGCTGGATTGAACTGGTTCAGGGCACCGGCCTCTGCCCTTCTGAGGTCTGGGGGACACGGCATCCTGCATGGGACACACCCAGGGGACGTCCGCAGGCCCCGGTTCAGAGAGGCCGACACCAGTGCTGTGGGGCTGGGCTGTCCTGCCCTGGTCTGGCGTAGCCTCTGCCAATACCGTGTTTCCCCGAAAACAAGACCTCCCCATAAAATAAGCCCTAGCAGGATTTCTAAGCATTTGCGCTATATAAGCCCCACCCCAAAAATAAGCCCTAGTGACAGGCGTGGCTACGCAGCGCTTCTGCACAACCCACGCGTTTGTTGCGGAGCGGAAAAGAAGGCGAGCAGCCCTTCTCACCTGCCCCGTCGTGACAGCTGCTGTCCCAGAAGTGACCGGAAAGGTGCGGGCAGCCCCACCAACACGGCCGGCTCCCCCTGTCGGGTCCCGGCCGTCCTGTGCGTGCTGCAAGCTGAGGCTTTGAGGGGAAAATAGCACATCCCCTGAAAATAAGCCCTAGGGTGTCTTGTTGAGGAAAAATAAATGTAAGACCCTGGCTTGTTTTCGGGGAAACACGGCAGATGGGACGGGAACGTCGGCTCACAGCAGGGACCCGCTATTTGGGGAAAGCCTGAAACATCCCCGGGAAGTCACCCCGAGGACACCCGGCCTGTCCCTGCGCACCCCAGCACGGCTCGGAGGCCCGTGGGGACAGGAGGAGGCCGGGGAGCTGGTGCCGCACGGCACGGGGCGCACTCGGAGGAAACGCCCACCGCCTGGTCAGGGCGAGATGCTGCGGCCTGCGTGAGGAGGGCACTGGCGCTGAGCCGAGGAAAGGAATCGGTCCGGGCCCCATGCTCACAGCAGAGTCCCAATTAGGGAGAGATTGGGCTGGAAGCAAAGGGAATCTGCGGGACCCACCGTCACACAGAGTCCCGGGGAGCGCTGGGGCCCGTGGTGTGACAATCACAGCCCGGGCTGCGAAGGAGAAGGGAGGGACCCTAAACAGAGAACCGGGGTCCAGGAGCGCAGAGCACACCTGTTTCCATGGCAACAAATAGCGTTTTGTTTTATTACACAAGAGCCACAGCAAGATGACGGCTGATGGCATCGCTCTTACAAAGTCATGCCCCACTTTGGGCGAGTCTGGTATAATATGTTAAGGAGGAAAGAAAATCCCTGCTACGCTAAATTATAGTGGCATGAAGTAAAGTAGCAGAGCCGGGGGAGAGGGCGGAGAGAGACATTGACGAGATGGAGCAACCCTTCTAGGCAGGGAAGCAGATATCTCCTTGGAGCCCCGACTTCACCGCCAGCCACGCTTTCTTTCTGTCCGGATTTAAAGCCAGCCGAGCAAAGCCCTGGCTAATGATGGAGCAACGTGCTTCTATTTGGACGCTCACCCTGCAGTCACCTGTTACATGAGTTTAAATGGTGACACAAGTGGGGACTTGCGTTCCTCTGTGCCTTGAAGGTAAAACAAGCCAATCGTATTTGTTCTGAAATGTACACGCACGTGTTCTAAATTTAAGTCATATTCGTGAATATTTCACGGTGCCGCTGTCTTCAGGAGCTGAGTCGCGTCTTGCATGTGTGGTGCTGCGGAGGTTGGCCCTCCAGAGAGGGATCTGAGACGATACGCCCAGGTTGGGGAGCCCCTCTCGAGGCGGTGAGGGACGGAGGCTGCACCCCGCCAGCCGTGACTGTCCCTGCTCCTGCATCCGGCAGGCGCACTTGAGACGCTCGTTCTGACCCAGCACCCGGGCCAGGTGCTGAGATCCGCAGCGCCGTCACTTGGATGGGGGCAGAGTTGCTACTTATTGGCCTTATAGGGTCGTACATGGGTTTCTTATTGACATTTTCATTTATGTTTGCATAAACATTTAAATCATCTCCAGTTTGCTCTCTGTGAGGTTCTTGACTTTTGGGTAGCCTTAGGAACACAGCAGCTTGGCCCCTGTTGCCTTGATGGTCTCTAAGGAACTTTCTGTCCCCATGTTGGGACAGCACGTGCTCCTGCTCTGATGGGGTGAGTCTCAGCTGGGCCAGGGCGATCTCGCCTGGCTGTGTCGGCCGCCAGCGTCCGAGATAAAACGCCCAGCAGTCTCTCACGGGGACGCCTGCCAGACGGCACCCTGTCCCTTACGCTGAGGAACGGGGTTTCCTATTCGGGTCAGCATTAGAAACACGCTTCCGGTCGCCGCCAGCTGCCCGAGGCCCAGGTCCACACCCAGGATCCCTGCGGCCAGGAAGCCGGTGACGTGCTTAGAGGAGGCCGCCTGGTCCCAGCTCCCGTGCCGGATCCCGCACTCGGAAGTGGGTCTTCTTGGAAACCAGGGCGTGCAGAATCAGAGATGCCGAATTTACTGTCTTTTCACAAATTGAAGCTGCTTTTAGAGACTCGAATGCCACTGACGTCGCCATAGGAAGTGACCAGGACGGACTAAGGGCGCCGATGTGCTGCTGGTGCTGCCGGCAGTGCCGGGGTGCTGCCGAGATACGCGTTGTTGAGCACTGCTCAGGACGCCTCAATCGGGACGCGTGTGGCGTGGGGGCTGCGTTCCGAGCTGCCGGTGGCTTCCACGCACCCTCGGAGATGGCTGCGAGTCCTTCCGGGGAGTTCTCAGGCGGGCCGGTCTGAGGTTCGGCCCAGAAATGGTGCCGTGTGTGTAGAGACGCCGGGGCTCGTGGGAATCTGGGTTTCATTATGTCTACGGCCTGTTTTCGGCAAGAGCTGAGGGGGAAGGGCTGTTGCCTGCGGCTCCAGCAACTAGGAAAACGGATGACAGGTTTCTGGGCTGTGCACGCAATGCAGGGCTTAATTTCTGATATGCAACTTATTAATACTTTCCTTTTTTGTGTGTGTGTGTGTTTTAAGATATTTGAACAGTTTGTCAAGACAAGAATAAAAGAAGAATACAAGGAAAAGAAAAGTAAATTGCTGCTAGCCAAAGAAGAATTCAAAAAGCTTCTAGAGGAATCTAAAGTGTCACCCAGGTATGGAGAGAGAGACCCGTCGTCAGGTGATTTCTGGGGCTGGAAGCGTACCCCCGGCGACGGGCCGTGTTGGCGTGCGTGAGTGTGGACCACACAGGCCTGCCCGGGAGCACAGCTGGGAGCCCCTGGGCTCCCCTCATCCCCGGCCGAGTGTGAGATGTCTGTGCGTCAAATGCCCCGAAGCTGTTTCGTTCCCACATTTCCCGGTCAGAGCGCAGACTCCATGGCCCAGATGACCGGTCCATGGTCTGATTTCTGATCTAGCGACCAGGGAGTGAATGTGCAAAGCAAAGGGCAGCAGCAGCATAAGCCCCACCAGCTCCCCTGCCTGCTGCGGGTCTCGCATCCGGCCCAAGAGTGACGTGCAGGGTTGACAACCTGGGGCCCAGGGACTGCGGTGACTCAGTTAATGAAACTTACCTAAGATAATAAATAAGGCAGCATTTCCATTAAATAAAAACACATAAGCTTAACACTTCTTTCAAATTAGCTTTAATTGAATAATTTTTGTTTTGTTTTGTTTTGTTTTGAGACAGAGTCTCACTCTATTGCCCAAGCTGGAGTGCGGTGGTGTCATCATAGCTCATAGCAACCTCAAACTCCTGGGCTCAAGCGATCCTCCTGCCTCAGCCTCCTGAGTAGCTGGGACTACAGGCATGCGCCACCATGCCCGGATAATTTTTTCTGTATATATTACTTGGCCAATTAATTTCTTTCTATTTATAGTAGAGACGGGGTCTCGTTCTTGCTCAGGCTGGTTTCAAACTCGTGACCTCGAGTGATCCTCCCGCTTCAGCCTCCCAGAGTGCCGGGATTACAGGTGTGAGCCACCGCGCCTGGCCTAATTAAATAATTTTTAAAAAAGAATGAACTACTTTTAGAACTATAAAACAATAGCTTTTATAAACATAAAAGTAGTTGAGTTTACTGTGTTTTTATTTTATATTGGAGCGTGCAGCTTTATTTTTTAAATGGGATTAGTGGATGCTTTCTGTGAAGACGTGGCCTCCATAGTATGATCCGTGATCCGCTTGGTCAGCAGTTGGGTGATGTGAGTTAGTGTCGGGTACACAGTTCTCATAAAAATTCCCCGGCTAGCCAAAGGACAGATACTGAATGAGAAAAAAAAAAAATTGCATGAACTATCGCCATCACACAATGCCAATCTCGACAGGCAGATGCGTGTCTGGCCCGTGCAGGTACACTGTGATTTTCTGTGGTTCAAGCGGCCACGTGGCCACGGGGTTCCAGCCGTGGCTTAGCCGTGCCTGCCCACGAGGCGGCCACGGAGAGAGGCAGAGACGTGGGGCGCTCAGGAAACTGGAGCCTCCGACCCGTCCTAGTTGACAGCTGGCCCTCCTTAGCCTGGTCGTCGGGGAGGGACTGGCCCTCCGAGTGAGTCTGTCTCCTCAACTGGAAGGGGAGGTGACCGCACAGACCCCAGGAGGGACCCGCCGTGCCCAGCAGGCAGGGCCTGCTCAGCACCGAGAACCGAGTTGTGGTTAAGGACATTTAGCCGACGTCCCGTCTCTCCCCCGGTGCAGTGTCAGCCAGGAGCTCACCTGTCCCCTCCCATGAACTGTTACGAAGACCAAGGGGGAAACGGTCAAGAGTTTATTGAGCAATTGGAAAAAGATTTCACACATGCACACAGAAAAGGAGTTAGACTTACTGTTAAAATTAGGTTTAACTGGCTGCTATTTTTAAAATAAATGTTACTGTGTCTATTGAGGCATATAACATGGTGTTACAGGACACCTATAGATAGTAAAACGGTAACTGTAGTGTAGCAAATTAGCATTTTTTAAAAAAAATTTACACTCAGCATAGATTACTTTTATAATTACAAAACTATTTTTTATTCTCAAAGTAGCTAAGTCTGCAACAATTTCAAGAGCTTTTTTCAGATCTTTCTGCCGTTTCATAGGCACCCGAGTAACATGTGTGTGGCTCAAGTCCCTGCACAGCCCGGTGCATTCACATGCAGGGCACCTGAGCCCCCTGGAGACGGCCCCGGGGGTCTGCAGAGACTCCTGCAGCCGTCCCGGTTATCTTAGCCTCCTGACAAGGGTCCTGGGGCAGTGGTGGCAGCGGCAGTCTAGAGCTGGACAGCGCCAGCCCCTCTGGACTTGGCTATGGGGGAGGGGCCGCCTGGCTGCAGGAGCCAGCGGTGGGAGTGACACTCGGGCTCCTTCATGGAGGCCACGGCAGCTGCCTCCATCAGTGGCAGGCTGGCCCATGTCCCTGTTTTCCAGATGTACCAGTGACTCAGACGACTTCCCGCCAGGGCCAGCGGACAGGACAGCTGCCCCTTGGCATGGCGAAGGGGCCACAGAGGGTTAATTCTCCCTTTCTTTCCGGGGACGCTTCTTTTCAGAGACGCCCGGGATAGGGCCTGTCTAGGCGCTGCCCCTGCCCAGCCCCTGACAGGGCTCAGCTCCTAACTAGCCAGGGGGCGGGAGGAGCGAGCCGCGGGCGTCCCACAAGTTTACTTCCACACCACGGGGAGGTCAGTCATGGACACACCAGCCTCGCCCAGCACAACTGTCCAGTCGGTAAAGGAGGAAGGAGAAAAGGAAGGAAGGAGGGAGGGAGGGGAGAGACAGGAAGGAAGCGAGGAAGAGGAAAACCAGGAAGAAGCGCTTTCCTTTCCGAGAGTAAACAAGTGCCCCAGAGGCTGTGACCAGGAAAATAGCAGCTGGAGGAGGAAGGCAGGAGACTAATTGTTTGGTGACAGCAGTGAGGAGAGTCTGCTAATTATTTGTCTTGTCTTCTAACAGCCCTGTCAGTATAATCTTGTTGTTCAGGTATTTAAAAAGCTATTACGTTATAATGCAATAATTAAGTGCCTGCAAGGAAATACACAATTCTCGGTAAAGAGAAATGGGGGATAGAAAAACCCGCTGGACAAAGAACGGAGGCGTTTTCCAGGCACCTGGGGGGACACCCCTCTAGGCGAGTCCCTGCTTCCTGGTGAGGACCCCAGGCTGGGAGGCAGGAGGAGACTAGTCTGTCCCTGCACGGGTAGGTGTGTCCACATGGGCCAGCTCCTTCCGGCCTCGCCGCACTGCACCTGTCACTATTCCTGCCTTCAAGTTCAAGTGCGGCCAGTAGGAAGCTGTGGGCTCCAGCACTCGAAAAGCTCCCTGGGTCGCTGCAAAAGTGTGTCCACTGCCTTGGCTGCAAAAGTGTGTCCACTGCCTTGGCTGTTCGAGCCTCCCCAGCCCTCAGGGATGGCCTTGCTGGTCCCGGCTGGCTCCCTTGGGTTTTCCTGCAGGCCCTCCTGCGGCCTGGAAATTAGAGGTTGCCCCATTCGTAGTTGGTGCTCACTGCATGCCGGGCACTGGGCTGGACCCGCAGGATGTTCATGGAGACCGGGGCACATGGCGGTGCCCCCACTGGAGTGAGGGGGCGTCCAGAGGGCTCAGTCAGGGTTTGGCAAGATCACGGCTGTGATGGGGCCGTGAGGCAGCCAGTCGGCACCGTGAGCCTGTGCAGGGGCGTGCTTCCAAAAGTAGGTGCCCTAGCGAGTGGTGGCCCCTCGAGGGTGGGCGCCCACTGGGTGAGCAGTAGGGAGGTGTGCCAGGCGGAGGGTGTGGCCCAGGCACAGAGGCATGGTCGGCGGAAGCACGGTGGGGGTGAGGGGTGGAACTCCTAACTCAGTCCCTGGATCTGGTCTTGCTTTCTGTGTAGCAGCAATAGGGTTTTCATCATCACCACAGTGACAGCCATGAACTCCCCACGAGTGGCCCCCCCATCTCCTGCAGGCTGCTGGGGTGGGGGTTCCTTCCTCCACGAGGGTGTCCAGGCCTGGGAGCAGGAGCCGCATGGGCCCCTGACAGGTCCTACTTACTAAAGAACTATTTTGTAAAAAATCACTGGTGTGCTGGGCGCCCCAGGGGCTGGGGCAGCCTCATGGGATGGGGCGGGGGAGGCCAGAAAGTGCAGCCCTGTGGGGGCCCCATAGGGGCTGAGACCCCAGAGGGGAGCAGGTGCCCTGGCCACAGCCCCCCAGGGCAGAAGGGACTCTCTGCCATCTTGGCCACCCTGGAACTTGCCGGGAAACCACAGTTGCTCTCTGCGAAGCTGTCTTAGGCAGCTCTTTCTTTTTCAGGACCACGTTTAAGGAGTTCGCCGAGAAACACGGCCGCGACCAGAGGTTTCGGCTTGTCCAGAAAAGGAAGGACCAGGAGCATTTTTTCAACCAATTCATACTTATTCTTAAGAAACGGGACAAGGAAAACAGACTGAGGCTGCGGAAAATGAGATGAATCTGTGAAAATGCAATAAGACCCCGGGGGTGGGCACGGGGGTGTGTGCCGGGACGAGGGGTCACACACGGCTCGGGCAGAGGCGGGCAGCGCAGGGCGGGCGCGGGGCGGGCAGGCGGGCTCTGCACTGGCCGGAGGGCCGGGGCCGCCGCGGGTTTCGACTCTCAGAGGATTATTGTTTCATATTGAAGCTCTTTTTTGTACAACGTCCGGAGTTTGATGCATTTCTAATTGCTATGATACGTCGATCCCTTAATTGTTTTAATTATGCAAATTACTTGTAATATACACAAACGGTAAATCCACTGCAGGTTAGTGACTAAGCAGAAACAGGAACCATCTAGAACAATCTCAAGGCGTTTCATCACGTAAGACGATCACCTAAAACCTTTCTTCTGAAAACCTTTGTGAATTACTTCACTCCTCCAGGAACTCCTAACCCAGTCCCTTAAGGTCTGGTCTCGTTTTCTGCGTAGTAGCAATAGGGTTTTCATCATCACCATAGTGACAGCCGTGAGCATCCCACGCGTGGCCCCCCCATCTCCTGCAGGTTGCTGGGGTGGTTCCTTCCTCCACGAGGGCGTCCAGGCCTGGGGAGCAGGAGCCGCACGGGCCCCCGACAGGTCCTACTTACAGAAGAATTATTTTGTACAAAAATCATCATATTAATATTTGAGTTATTTTTATTGTATGCCCAGAGTTTGCATGAGATTTTTCTCATCATCTTTGTATAAAAAAATTTTAAATTTTTTTTAATCAATAAATATTTTAAACCAGTGTGTTTGTGTGCCTAAGACGTTCATCACAATCGTAAGCAGCGAAATTGCGTTTCATCGAAAGACACCCAGCTTTGAAAGATTTAGGGGAGAAAAAATCCGATTGCAGGTGAGGGCTGTGTAACTACCACTCAAACCGAGCCTGGCTTTTCAACAGGCTCACTAGTACCGGGTAGAACAACCCTTGGTAAAACCTTAGCTGATTGTGTTCCTTCATTTGTCGGGTATCCATTTATTTATCTCAGATTTACGGAGTCTGTTAGGGTGCGATGCCTTTGTCCTTGGTAAACCGCGATGCAGCCTCCTCACCCACCTGCTTGTTCGTTCTTATTTATTTACTTATTTTGAGACAGAGTCTCGCTCTGTGGCCCTGAGTAGTGTCAGCCTACCTCGCCGCAACCTCACAGCCCCCGGGCTCCAGCGATCCTCCTGCCTCAGCCTCCCGCGTAGCTGGTAATGGAGGTGAGCTCCACCACGCCCAGCTAACTTTCCTATTTTTAGCAGGGACGGGGTCTTGCTCTTGCTCAGCCTGGTCTCGAACTCCTGGCCTCAAGCAATCCTCCCACGTGGCCTCGGCCTCCCAGAGTGCTGGGGTTACAGGCGTGAGCCACCGCGCCCAGCCCATAGTTGTTTTCATCCCCTTTAGATATGATCTCGTCCAGGCGGAGTGCCCGGTCCTGCCTCCGGGAGTCACGTGGGCACACACAGAGCAGCCGAGATGCCACGCAGACCCACCACGAGTGGCTCCCACGACCCCTTCCGTGGACGTAGGCAACGTCTCTAAGTGACTCATCCATTCGTGTATGGGACAGATTGTGCCGAGTTCCCGAGATGTGCCAGGCACAGGCGCCCACGTGGTGGGGCAGGGAAGGGGGACGGAAGCACTTGGGCACACGCCGGAGTGGTCCCCTGGGCTGCTGTGACCGCTCACCCTGGGGGGGGCCCCTATTCTCACAGTCCTGGGGGCCAGAAGTCTCTGATGCAGGGGCTGGCAGAGCTGGTGTCTGGCCGGGTCCCCTTCCTCGCAGACTCTGCCCCATGAGGCAGAGAAGGGCGAGCAGCTCTCGGGGGGTCTGTGTGGGGGTACCCATCCCATTCACGGGGGCTCCACACCCATGACTCGTCCCTCCCACACGCCCCACCTGCCGACGCCCTTGCTCTGGGGTGGCGTGTGCCGGGGAGGGAGCAGAGGCTGGACCCGGGTCAGGGATCGGGGATGGGGCCGGTCACAGGGAGCCGGCGTCAGAGGTGAGACCGAGGCAGGTGTGGCACCAGCTGGGCACTGCACAGCCCAACTCCACCCCGACCCCACAACCCCGCGTGGACGGGGGGAGGCGGCGGGCCCCGGAGTGAGCGCCGTCTGCCCGGTCAGCTCCCGGTTGGGGCCGGGCTTGTGCGACCCCGCAGCGCGGCCCAGGCCATCCCGAGATGACAAACTGCGTCCGGCCCTCGCCTCGCCCAGATGCTGCGCCTGTCTCCACCTCGGCTCGCAGACCGCAGATGGGAACGGCTGTCCCCCCGCCCGGTCGGCCCCTCGCCTCTGCCCACACACGGACGTTTGTCATCGGCTGACTCTGCCAACTCATTCACTTCACGGCCCAGCGTGGGCGCTTTGCCCTGGGCGCTGCCAGGGTAACTCGTAAAACAGATTTGCGGGACGGCGCTGTCCCCGTCGCCAGCGAGTCAGCGAGTGGCTGAGTGACAGTTCCATCTCTGTCTGCCCAGACGCCGGGCAGCCTGCCTGGGCCGGGCCGTGTGCGGCGCCTGCAGCTTCCTGGTCGTGAACTCTCCCAGCAGCTGCTCCCAGAAACCGGAGCGGACACTTGGGGACAGGGACGGCTGGAACCATCGTGAGTTCTCCAGGCTCCAGAACTAGGGGGCGGCGGGCAGCAGGGTAGTGTCGGGGGTCAGGCAAGTGTCCCCACAGTGGCAGGTGGGGCCCAATCCAGGTTGCTTTTCCTCTTTGCCGTTGTTCTCCTGATCTTGGGTTTACCCTGGGCAGGAATGATCTGGGAGACCCCGGCTGCCCCGAGCATGGCCAGGGGGGCTTCATCTGCAGAGATCACCTGACTCCAGGTGCAGCTCTCTCCTTGCCGCCCCCACCAGCCTCAGGAGCCCCCACCGCATTCCACTCGTGGAGAACCCGTGTGGATGCCACCAGATCTCATTCCTGACACCCAGTGCTGCCCCCATGGTGGCCTCCACTCCCCTTCTCGGGAGCGCTGCCCGGCAGGTAAAGCTTCAGGTGCAGTCTCCTGCCAGGTGAGCCCTGCCCCCTGCCCCGCCTGAGCCCACACCCGGCAGCCTGCAGAGGACTCTGCCTTGGAGGAGACACGGTCAATGCTCCTGCAGTGGGCAGACTCCAGCCGGGGAGGCTCCTTCCCCCTGGTGGGTGGTCCCGCCTGCAGGCTCCAGCAGGCCACACGGGCAGGAACTGGCCCATCTGGGGACAGGTGGCTGGGATGCTCTTACCCACTGAACTTGGCCATTTGCAGTTTTTAGATTTTTGACAGGGCTAGGGTAGGGAGGAAAGGAAATGAAAAGTAGGCTCCAGCCCAGTTCCTCATTTCCAGCAATGTCACTGAGCTCATCAGAAAAGCCCAGGTGACCCTCCAGCTCCAGGGTGGCCAGCATCATGCTAGCTTGCCCACTCTGTCCGCTCTCACGGGGCCCAGAGACTAGGTCTGGCGTCCCAGACTCCCAGCCCTGCCTGCACAGCTGTTCTGACCCTGCCTCCTCCCTTGGCAGGGCCACCCAGGCAGGTGGCTTGGGGTGGAGCCCACATGGGGACGCTGACCCTGGATTGTCCCATGGGCTCACCAGGCTTCAAGCCACCTGCCCTGCTGATGGCTGCAGGTCCAGACGGGCATTATGACCGGCCTCCCCCTGCTCCCTTAACCCCCCAATCCCAAAACTCTTCCCACCTGCTCCGGAGCTGGCCGGGCTCTGTGTGCCGGGAGAAGACGCCCTCGCGCCCAGCTCGCCCCGGGGGCAGCGTCTTCCTCCAGGGTGCGTCGGCGTCTGCTCCTGAGTGTGCAACGCTGCAGCTCCGACTCGGGGGCCGCAGCCGGACTCGCACCCCAGCCCGCAGCCGCTACCCACGCACCGGGCAGGCGGTGTCCTGCTTGCCTGGAGGGGACTCCTGCTCTGTGGTTTGTTTTTCTCTGCCTGTTATGATCCGTGGCACTTCCTCTGAGGCGTCCTCTGGAGGAAGGAAGCCCAGCGGGCACAGGCCTGGGGCCAGCGTGGGTGCTCTGGCCGCTGCTCCGCGTCCACCGGCCTCTCTGCCCGCCCCACGGCCCCGGGTGCCGAGGGAGCAGGTGGAGCGGGGGCCAGGTGGCCGGTTGGAGTGAGAAAACCATCTAAGCAGAACTTTTTATCTCAAGAAGGTTTTGATTTTTGTTGGATTATGAACAGAAACGTCCCCTTGGTATTGTGCACGCTTGAGGGCCGGGGCTGGGCTCGGCTCCTGGGTGGACATGGCGGAGCTCCCAGCTCGGAGCTGTGTCGCGCAGACCAGCGCTGGGCCGGCAGGGCCGAGCTGCTGACTCGACACTGGTGTGTGTTCGACCCCGTGTGTGCGTGTAAGTGCACGTGCATGTGTGTGTGTGTTCGTGTGCTTGTGCACATATGTGCACCGTGTGTATGGTATGTGTATGTGTGTTAAATGCACATGTGTGCATGTTTGTGTGTGCACTATGTGTGGTGCGTGTGTTGGTCTTTTGAAAACCCCATGGCTCCAAAATGCTCTCCCTCTATCCACTCAGCCCCGACCATCCCCCACCCGGGTGGGTGCAGCTCTGGGAGGCCGTTGTAGGGCGTGCACCGCTGGCCGAGTGCCTGACAGCACCGGCGTGCCCGAATCCCCGTGTGCCCCAACCTGGACGTGTCAATTCTGCAAACTCTCATCGTCAGGGAAAGCCAGGGAAACGAAAACAACCGGGAGATTGCTCCCGAGAGGGGACGGGTCATTCCGGCACAATTGCAGAAACAGCGCGGCGCTGGCCTCATCCCACACCCGTCCGAGATGATCTCTCCATCTTAGTCCCTAACTCTGCCCACGAAGCCCAGAAGTGTGGGCGTCCGTATGCTTTTCACAATAAATCACCTTCCGGCAAAGTGTGCTGAGAATGAATCATGTTTACTGCCATTCCGACTTCCTTCCACTTCTCCAAAACTCACATTTAATAACGAAGTCAGAGAGCTGCTGCACCCTCGTTTTTTGTGGCTCCGGCTAACAGACTTGAAATGCCCTCTTGATTCAAATGTATCTGCAAATGTGCCGCCTCTGCCTGCTTTACCTCCACGCAGTGCCGCCCC